AGATGAGCCATCGTGCGGCTGATCGCATGGGCGACTGGAACTTGGAAAATGAGCCGCCAAGGAGAACGAATGCAGAAGATAATCCAATCTTAGCCACCTCTTCCTTCTCTTGGGACTCGGGGACCCAGAGCACCGGCACGGTCTGAACGCCTGACCTCAGGCTCATGGCATCCCCGTAAGCTCCATAATCTGAACGCAAGCCAGAGTTCACTCAGCTTGCCCCGTAGCTCTGTATTGGCCGCCCAGAGATCCGCCGCCAAAATCGCAAACTCTGCAAGGCTGTCTGAGAGATCCGGCTATTCTCCCGGTCCTTTGCCATCAGTGCCTGATGTTATTCTCAGGGATGCGGCGTCACAAACCGCCTGTGGCGCCTGGCCAGAGACCAACACCAGATGCTTCTTAAGGATTCAAATCTCCCCTGAGAGAGCGTCTACCCGACAGCGCTCTGTATGCAAACGCTCTACAAGGAGGGAAAACCCGGGGCCTGATCCGGGAGCTTAAAGGGCTTCCTCAAGACCGGAAGAGCTATTGCCCAAGAAGTCCTGAGATTTCACTATCGGATGCAGCCGCCGCACTTCCCCCAAGGCTCTTTCTAATGCGTTCCTGTGCTCACATAAGGGAGTCTCAGAGATATGCCACCAACCCAATTGGCTTCGCTAGACCGTGGATAACCAGGTATGCAGAGCGGGTATAACCATCACACTGGGATGCTGCTTCTTGGCCATTGGGCTCCGCTAGAGCACTAACCTTCTCCCACTAGGCCTGCCACCAACCTCCTAATGGACTGTTCCCGGTCAGATGGCGTGCTTACCTAGTCAGGCATGCTGTATTGAGCTGCCTGCTCCCGTGGCGTGCTGCACGAATGAGACACGACGAGGGAGATGAGGTATAAAATAAGGCCTAAGTCTAAAGGATAAGGGAAGGCTGGATCCCGGGTGAGCCGCATTTAGGCCAATTCCGAGAGAGAGAGAGAGAGAGAGAGAGAGAGAGAGAGAGAGAGAGAGAGAGAGAGAGAGAGAGAGAGAGAGAGAGAGAAAGAAAGAAAGAGAGAGAGAGATACATCTAAATGAGGAGGAGGGAAAACCTGCGACCTCTGTCTCACCGGAGCTCACCCCTCACCCCTTGCTGCAGCGAGACGGAAGGGGAACGCTCACCGTTTTCTGGAGGAAACACCTTTCGAGATAAGTGTTCTCCTTACCTTCTACTCCTAATTCAATATTCGTGCAGAGAGAGCTCCTATTTCACTCTCTTTACGATCAATCATTTATGTTCCCCCATTCACTAAACACCTGACGGATATCACGATTTTCGGACGGGACATCCAATCATTAACCACTTCAAAATCTACCTTTCTGAGTATTTGTTGCCAGTATACCGTGCATTGACTTATACGTTGGAGAACTTTTGGGAGTGAAACCCCCGTTTGGTCTACCCGGAAACCCGATTCATTCGTTTGTCCTTGTATGCAGGATCTACTAGACTTTCATCTCGGAGCGGTATATCGCTCATCCTCTAAAGAACAAAACTTATACAGCTCAACAACTCAAGACGCCCCATAAGCATCTCGAAATTTGCTCCGAAACAATATTGATTGTAAAAAAATTAGAATCATACATGCAATCTATTATAAATATATACAAAAAATTGAAATCATAATATTTATCATTTTCTATTAAATTAAATTTATTAATTTAATATTATAATTAAATATATTTATGTTTTAATTTTATAATTTATTTATTTTTAACTTAAGTAATCAAAATATTTTATTTATTTTAGAAAATTTAACATTTCATATTTCCATATTAACAATAAAAATCATTGAAAGACTTCTGAAATAATAATTATAATTTTAATTATGAAATAAGCTGATATTTGTTTTCACATAAACATTCAATTTGTAATCGTTTGAGTAAGAAAATAAATGATATAACACGTGTTAAATTAAGAGTGGTTTAACCTCTGAAAGACAAAGAAAGGGATAAGAGGATCATGCCTGCAAAAGCAAAAGTACCGAGTTAGGAGGTTGGCTACGGCGAACTTCTTTTCTTTTTTTCTTTCGGGATAATTCTCATATTTTGGATATGGAGATATTATTTTCTTCCTGATTCAGTGGAGATTCTTCATTATCTTCGAATATTCTTATTTAATCATCAAGTCCACATGATTATCCTAGTCTTGATGGACTTATGTTATTGCTAGAGAAGGGAATCAGATTTTGATAAAAGCATTCCTTTGTTGAACCATTGAGTTTCCATCTTCTCATGTCGATCTTCGCTTTCCTTGTAAAGAATTTCCAATTTTAAGCCATCTTGTTCGGGTTTGCTCTTGGATTCCTTTCCCGAGAATGGGGTTGAAAAGAAGAAACAAGATTTCTTTGGTCCAAAGTCGATATTCCAGGGTGTCCTTTAGGTAAAAAGCCAAGAATAACGACTCCGCCGAGAGATCCTCTGCTGTCCAAAGATGCTTGGGCGGTTAATGATGATAATCCTGCCGTTAAGGTTTTTGATGCATGATCTTCCGATTCGCCTCCGCCGAGGATTTTGACCGAGAGTTCGATGGGTGGTTCTTCAGTCAGGGGACAAGATCCCACTTTTAAGGAAACTGAAGGCCAGAAAACCAATTCACCGCTTTCTACAAATAATTATTCAGAGATCCCGGAAAGTGAACGCGAAAAGCTTGAGTTATAACTTGAACTCCAAGGATTCAAAGTTGAGTCCTCCAAAGAAAGGCAGCATCATAGGGAGAATTTGGAGAAGAGGACTGTCGAAGAAAGGGACCTGAGTGCTGCTGCAGAAGAGGAGTTTCACAAATTTCATCGGAGATCCATCGAACATGTTGCTCGTTCGGTGCTTGATTGGTATTATTCCCGTATTAGCCGAATAAAAGCATTTTTGGCGCAAGAGGAGAAAATTCATTGACTTTAGCTGAAGATTGTTGATGCCGAAGCGTCTGTAACTTGTTATGAACATATGCGAGTTTCGGGTCGCGAAATCCCTATCTAGAAATTCCTAGCCCTTAAGATCAAACTTGACCGTTCGAAGGTAAAGCGTTGTGGTATAAAGGAAGCTCCCATTGCGAAAGAGGGAAGGGTAACCAATAATTAGAAATTACCTTTCTGATATCGTCATCCGAATAGACTTTGATTTTCTTTTTTATTTCATACCGACGGAAGCGGACATATTTTTCTTGAGTCCTGAATTCAAAGCAGCGAGAATTTGAACGCTGAGGCGAGACACATCGGGACCAAACCTTTGTTTTGTTTTGTGCTTTTATGTTTTGTTTATTGTAATGGTATTTTTTTTTGCGAAAATATGGTAAGTGCCACTTGCTGCGATATTATTCTCATAGGATTCAAACAATGGAGTTAAAGAATTTGCCAAGTAAATCAGATAGGATTCAAACAATGGATCTAAAGAATTTGCCAAGTAAATCAGACGAAGTGATAAACTTATCTAGTCGACTTAGATAAATAAATCAATCGAAGTGATTTTTAGGGGGGGGGGGGGGGGGGGGGGTACGCGAAGTGTGTGTAACGATCCTTTATTTTGAAGGATCATTGAATTGCGATGTGCGGAAACCTTTTAGTCCGGTATTGGAAGCGAGATTCGTTTGCTCGTCTTATACCAAACGAGAATAAGATCGAATACCAAGCTTTCAGGATTCACTTCGGCCCGAAAGGTATGACCAAGAGTCGTGCGAGTATTATCCTCGACTTTCTTCTTATCCACTTCAAAAGTAATTAAATTGAATCGAAGCATAAAATGGGTGGTGATCAGCCTCATAATTTATTTGCGTTTTATGAATCAAACGTTTGGCCAGAACATTGATTATAGAATATAGTCGTATTTGACGTATATATGGATTTTTGATGCACTTTACTTTGAACGCCGAGCTGGTTGACAAAGATAAAGATGATTTTATTAAAATTGTGACTGAATCCGGAGGCTGCCTATGTACCCTCCGTAATTCTTTTTAGTTAACAAATACAAATTCAAATGCTGAGCCATTTATTTTAAGGATAATGTTTCCTTAAATTAAACGAATTTCGTGCTCGCTTTACAGGCTTTCCATTTATTTTTTCCAACATGTTGATATACACTTTATTTACACCATATTAGCATACATTATGCATTGTTTTATAGTCTCTAAACATGCATTTTTGCTTGCTATTGTCGCATTTGCATTCCATTAGGGCTTAGTGTAGATTTAGGGTGTGCATTGCATGTTTTGTGCATCTGAGGAGTTTGGCAGGTATGTTTGGAGAGTTTGTAGACTACAAAGAGCATGGGAGATGATGGTAGATGCAGCACAAGACATGAACAGAGCCAAGAAGAAGGTGCACCTTGGTTAAGCGGCCAGAAACTTCACCTCGAAAAGACCTTCCTCTGAGTGGATATGTGGAAGTACGCTATGATGATCCAGAGAAACGTGTGGTTTGACAAAACCGGCTCGGACAAAGCACCTTTAACCCGATTCAGCTTAAACAGTCTTCATCAATGTTGTAGCCCCCGGAAGTTTGCTTGCATCTGGAGTTGGTTTCATATCATTCCCATCAGCAGTTTGGAAGTTACAGAAGTTATCGTGAAACCGCTCAACCTGCATCGGTCAAGGCACGAACCACATTGATTAGTGATGATCGATGTAAAGCAACAGAGAAGCTGGTGAATCACATCAGTCATCAACGTCGATCTTTAATGACCGATATGAAGAGACAGGACATCCACATTGATCAACAGCATCGATCAAGACTGATGGATGTAATGGACCCGAGGGCCTTGAAGAACACATCGGTCATCAGCTGACCGATATCAAGTAACCGAAGGACCATATCGACTGAAAATCAGCTCAGATGAGGTGTTTGCATTCCGATTTGGCCTCGGTGATAGTTTCGAGCCATTCCTGTCGGTGGTTGAGGAGTTATGGCTAATAAAGTCAGCACATGAAGATCAGCCTATATGAAAGGTTTCCCTTCGGCGATAATCAACGACCTGCAGGAGATGGCCAACCGGATGCTGGGCGCTGGATTCGGTAAGGTGTGCTCCCACGTTTATAGTGCTTACAGGAGAGAGTTTCTGGAAGAAAGCATGTCGAGGTTAGGGCTATAGAAGCTGAGTATCGAAGATGTTCATAAGATGCCGTGGCAGGAGCTGGAGGATGAGATAGACCAGTGGATCAAAGCCGTTAACGTCGCTCTTCGCATCCTCTTTCCGAGCAAACGCCGCCTCTGCGACCGTGTCTTCTTCGGTTTCTCCTCGGCTGCCGATCTCTCGTTCATGGAGGTATGTCGCGGCTCTACCATTCAACTCCTGAATTTCGCAGACGCCATTGCCATAGGAAGCCGTTCGCCTGAGAGATTGTTCAAAGTGCTCGACGTGTTCGAGACGATGGGGGATTTGATGCCTGAGTTCGAGTCTGTGTTCTTGGACCAGTTTTGCTCAGTTCTTAGGAATGAAGAAGTAACCATTTGGAAACGATTGAGAGAGGCGATAAGAGGTATATTCATGGAGCTTGAGAATCTGATCCGGCGAGACCCGGTGAAAGCTGTCGTTCCAGACGGTGGTCTCCACCCAATCACTCGTTACGTCATGAATTACCTCCGCACGGCCTGCAGATCCTGGCAAACCTTAGAGCAAGTGTTTGAGGATAGCAATGGTGTGCCGTCTAACGACTCGACTCTGTTGACTGTACATATGTCTTGGATCATGGAGCTTTTAGAGAGTAACTTGGAAGTAAAATCAAAAGTGTATAAAGATCCAGCGTTGTGCGCTGTGTTTCTGATGAACAACGGGAGATAAATTGTTCAGAAGGTTAAGGATGGGGACTTAGGGTTGCTCTTAGGAGAGGATTGGATCAGGAAACACAACGCCAAAGTAAGGCAATACCATTTGAGTTATCAGAGAAACTCATGGAACAAGATGCTTGGGATGCTGAAGGTGGACAATACACCTGCAGGCATGCACAGATTGGGGAAAGCCATGAAAGAGAAGCTGAAGCAGTTCAATACGCAGTTTGATGAGACATGCAAGGCGCACTTGATGTGGGTTATGTTTGACGAGCAGCTGAAAGAGGAGCTGAGGATCTCACTCGCCAGGTTGTTGTTGCCTGCGTACAGGAACTTCATCGGAGGAGTTTGGCAGGTATGTTTGGAGAGTTTGTAGACTACAAAGAGCATGGGAGATGATGGTAGATGCAGCACAAGACATGAAAAGAGCAAAGAAGAAGGTGCACCTTGGTTAAGCGGCCATAAACTTCACCTGACAAAACGAGCTTGGATAAAGCACCTTTAACCCGATTCAGCTTAAACAGTCTTCATCAATGTTGTAGCCCCCGGGAGTTTGCTTGCGTCTGGAGTTGGTTTCAGATCATTCCCATCAGCGGTTTGGAAGTTACAGAAGTTTTCGTGAAACCGCTCAACCTGCATCGTTCAAGGCATGAACCACATCGATTAGTGATGATCGATGTAAAGCAACAGAGAAGCTGGTGAATCACATCGGTCATCCACATCGATCATTAGTGACCGATGTGAAGAGACAGGAGATCCATATCGATCAACAGCATCGATCAAGACCGATCGATGTAATGGACCCGAGGGCCTTGAAGAACGCATCGGTCAGGCACATCGGTCATCAGCTGACCGATGTCAAGCAACCGAAGGACCATATCGACTGAAGATCAGCTCAGATGAGGTGTTGCATTCCGATATGGCCTCGGCGTTAGTTTCGAGCCGTTCCTGTCGGTGTTTGAGGAGTTATGGCTAATAAAGTCAGCACATGTCCATCTGGAGTTTCGACTGATCATCTTGTCCTCATAAGCCTTCTCTACTACTTGGGACTCTATTTCTGAACATAGCATGCGCTGATATTGACTTCACCAAAGAGAGAGTCACCCTCAAGAAAGTGAATGGTGGAGTTAGATATGCAATGAAGCCCCCACCTTCTAGCTTTTGTGGAAGCATCACTAATATGATTGTTCTTAATGCTTTTGTGGAACAATCATATGGAGACTCCCAAATTGCTCTCTTCCTTTACTTACGAACATTCCTCAAATTTGGTGTCTCAGGCTCAAGGATGACTCAAGCAAATCAACTGGTCATTGGAGGCTCGAGTAAAAGAAAAGAAACACTGGTGCCACGCCTAAAAATCATGGTTCCCCGTTTCGATAACTCACAGCTGGTTAAGGGTTACAACCGCACTCTTATTGGCCGCTGTATGAATCCAACAGTTCAGGAGATGAAGGCGCTCCTCTTCATGCTACCACAAATCTGGAAGGGTGAAGAGCGTGTGGCGGGAGCAGACCTTGGAATGAGAAGATTTCAATTCGAGTTTGATGATGAGGAAGACATCCAGGCGGTATTACAAATGGAGCCTTTCCATTTTGATGGATGGATGGTGGCTCTTGTAAGATGGGAACCAATCATGGAGCTCAATTAACCATCAGTGATCATCTTTTTGGGTACGAATGGTGAGAGTCCCTGTGGTAACCCAACCCGGTAAACCGTACCGCGGCTGTGTCCCACTACATCCTCTAAGTCCGTTTCTATACTTAGCCATATTTTTAAACTTTTTCTTCATTCTTATTCTTTCTTATCAATACACAGCGGAATATAAAGCAAATCATTTCTTTCATTTAACTTGCATAAAATCACTTATCAGGATTCGGGGCTAACTTAAACAAATCACAATGGTTCGCTAATGAATACAAACGATCATCTAGCAATCTAAATAGTCAATCACCAAAGCCATAAGACAAAGCACAACGTCTTAAACATAAATAAAACCCAGTCCCGATCCATCCATATCCATCACTGCCGCCTGGTCTCGCCCCTTTACTGCTTAGTACCTGCACACTCAAGATGAGAGGCATAAGTATTTCATAAATACTTAGTAAGTACGATCATCCTGTAACACCTGGTCAGTACCAAACACGCAATCATACTTTCGGATTCAACATTCAACACAATCAATTCGCAATAGACATAACAATATCAAACGGCCATGATCATCTAGCCTAACCAACCAAGATCAATCCCTTTTTAAGACCCATGTCTACTTCAGCGAGAATCCCACATCCCCTAAGCTAGTACATGATCCGGATTACCCTGAGGTTAACTAAACATCATATATGCCACGGTAAACACCACAATATATCATAACATAGGAATTGCTTATCAGTTCTAACACATAACATGAAAATTACACAATCAACATGCAAACATTCTAGCAATCCTACAGTCCTAGACACCAACCACAGTCACGCACTCACCTTAGACAAGGCTGGAGACAGATCGGTCAGAAGAAATCCCGATGAAAACCGTACCAAAACAAAGATATCCGATCTCCCTAAGAATCTCTCAGCTGCCCGTACGATCTGATCCTTATCCCCTCGGCCATCTCTCGATCCGTCCACCTTTCTTCGAGCCAAACTCTGTTTTCCCTCAGAAACCCCACAAAAAAGGCTATTAGCTCGAGGTTATCCGATGAAAACTCTTAACACTTAGGGAAATATCCGATCGCTTACCAATTTATCTCGGCGATGGTCGGATCTGCTCGGCGATAACCTGATCTCTCTCGGATGTCCTCGGGATAAACTGTTTTTCTTAGGGTTTTCTCTCGACTATTCTTTTTCTTTGCTTTATTGCTCTCGAATAAACACAAATCTCCCGAGAAAAGTCTCAAAATCCCTTAAATACTCACAAAACCCTAGATAAACCGGACTTATCCGACGTTTTCCTGGTTCCAGTAGGTTTTATCCCGGTCCGATTCGATTCTCTCGGCTATTCCCTGTACCTGCTCGACCATTCCTTCGATAAACCACAAAATAGCCGACCAAACACTTGGCCCACGGCCCAAATCCCTTCCCACTCGGATAAACCACCCTTATCCGAGGTGTTTTCCATTTTTCACCCGTATATTCCTATTTCTCTCGGATAACTTGTCCCATCTCGGCTAATCCTCTATTTCTCTTGGAGGTTTCCTTTTCTCCCTCGGAGACAGTCCAATGACACTCGGACTAACCTCCCAGACTCTCGGATAAATCCCACTGCACCGGGATAAATCCCATTTCCCACGGACTGGACCTTGTTTTCCCTCGGATATGGTCCATCCGGCTCGGCTATCCAGTCTATACCCGACTATTTCCTCGGTCATCACCCGACCATAGTCCGAACCTCCATTCCCCAGCCAATATCCGACCCTTGGCTCGATTATTCCTCGGACAACGCCCTGTCCGGTACGATCATTCCACATTTTCTCGGATACGGATGCTACAACTCTCCCCCACCCGTTATGGATTCGTCCTCGAATCCGACTCATCCGTTTGCAACTTGTCAAACCATTTGGGATACTCAGCTTTCATCCTAGCCTCATTCTCCCAAGTGACCTGTTCCTTACCGTCACAGTCCCATACGACCTGAACCATTCTGACCAGCTTCCCACGCTTAGTCTTTTCTTTCCGACCTATCACCCGAACCGGCCTCGCCACTACTACAAGATCCTCTTGCAAGTCCGATGGCGGCTCCTCTATAACCGTTTCCCGTTCGGTAATGTGCTTCCTCAGCTGTGACACATAGAATACATTATGGAACGCTCCCATTTCTGATGGCAAGTCCAACTTGTAAGCCACTGCGCCAACTCTTTCCAGTATCCGGTACGGCCTCATGTACCTCGGATTCAACTTGGCACTCTTAGCTGCCCTATCCGTTCCCTTATAAGTCAGTGCCTTTAGATAAACCATATCACCCACACTGAACTCCAAATCCCTGCGACGCTTGTCCGCATAACTTTTCTGCCTGTCCATAGCCTCTTTCAGCTTAACCTTTAACAATCTGATATTTTCTGTAGTCGCCTCGACCACTGCTGGCCCCATTACACTACTCTCCCCCACTTGTGTCCAACACAATGGTGTTCTACACGTCCTGCCATACAATGCCTTATACGGAGACATCTCAATGCTCCTTTGGTAACTATTGTTGTATGCAAATTCAGCCAACGGCAAGTAGTCTTCCCAACTACCGCCCCAGTCCAGTACACACGTTCTCAACATATCCTCCAATGTCCTGATCCTCCGTTCTGATTGCCCATCAGTCTGAAGATGATACGCTGTACTCATATACAACCGCGTTCCACACGCTTCCTGGAACACTTTCCAGAACCTCGAAGTAAACTTCGGATCATGATCTGAGATGATACTCACTGGCACTCTATGCAACCTCACGATCTGATCAATGTACATTTCCACCAGCTTTGGTACTCCATCCGTCTTTTTCATTTCTAAGAAGTGAGCAGGCTTGGTCAAACGATCCACAATGACCCATATCCCGTCATGCAACTTCTTAGTCTTAAGTAATCCCAGTACAAAGTCCATGGTGATCATGTCCCATTTCCATTCCGGCATTGGCAACGTTTGCAACAAACCACTCGGAAACTGATGCTCTGCCTTAACCAATTGGCACGTCTCACATCCGGCTACCCACTTAGCCACGTCTCGTTTCATCCCAACCCAATGATAGTACCGTTTTAAATCCTGATACATCTTGGTCATTCCCGGATGAACAGAAAACCTTGACTGATGTGCCTCCTTCAGGATCTCATCCCTTAACTCCTTCACATCTGGAACACAGACCCGTCCGTTCACAACAATGGTCCCATTGTTTGAAGTCTGATATTCCGTCTTATCATTCTGTGACACCTTTTTCAGATTCTCATCCTGCTCCTGAGCAATCCGAATCCTAGTCAACAAGTCAGCTCTATCCGCAGCTTCCAGACCCAACGGTTCAACCCCTTCTGTTACTGCATTCAGCTACAATGTCCTTAGTATGTTCACAATGCTTCCAACCTTCTGCTCAGATGATACGCTAGCCCTTCTCCTACTCAACGCATCCGCCACCAAGTTGGCCTTTCCTGGATGGTATACTATCTCCAAGTCATAGTCTGCTACCAACTCCATCCATCTACGCTGTCTCAAGTTCAAATCCGGTTGAGTAAAGATGTACTTTAAACTCTTATGGTCCATGTATATCTGCACCTTCTCTCCATACAAGTAAGATCTCCATATCTTAAGTGCAAGTACCACATCCGCCATCTCTAAATCATGCGTAGGGTAGTTTCCTTCATGCTTCCGTAGCTGCCGTGAAGCATAAGCTATCACCTTACCATTCTGCATCAGAAGACAACCTAGTCCTTTTCTGGATGCATCCGTGTATAGCACGTATGGCTCACCCGGTTCTGGTAACGCCAGTACTGGTGCACTAGTGAATAACTCCTATAACTTTGAGAAGCACTCTTCACACTCATCCATCCAGACATACTCCACGTCCTTACCAGTCAGCTTTGTCATTGGCTGAGCCATGCTTGCAAAACCTTTGACAAACCGCCTGTAGTAACCTGCTAGTCCGAGAAAACTCGTTATCTCTGTAGCATTCTCTGGTCTGGACCAATCCGCAATAGCCTGAATCATCTCTGGGTCCACGGACACTCCCTTATCCGAAACAATGTGACCCAAGAACCCTATATGCCGTTGCCAAAAGCTACACTTACTGAGCTTGGCATATAACTTCTGTTCTCTCAACTTCTCCATAACAGTCCGCAAATGACTCTTATGCTCTTCCTCATCCTTAGAGTATACTAGAATATCATCTATGAAAATGATCACAAACTCATCTAGGTACTCTCTGAATACGCCATTCATCAACTTCATGAATGCAGCTGGCGCATTCGTCAAACCAAACGGTATGACCACAAACTCGTAATGACCATACCTAAAGGCAGTCTTACGCATGTCTGTCTCCTTTATGGGTATTTGATGGTACCCTGATGCCAAATCGATCTTAGAGAACCAAGTAGCTCCCCTGAGTTGGTCCAACAACTCATCTATCATGGGAAGTGGATACTTGTTCTTCACGGTCACACGGTTCAATCTGCGGTAATCAATGCAAAGCCTGAAGCTCACATCCTTCTTCTTCACGAACAACACTGGTGCTCCCCACGGTGAACTACTAGGTCTAATAAAACCTTTGTCCAACAACTCCGTTAGCTGCTTCTTCAGTTCCGCCATCTCTGCTGGCGCCATCCGGTATGGTGCTTTAGACAATGGAGCTGTCCCCGGCTCAAGTTCAATCGTGAATGGATCTGAACGAGCTGGTGGCAGTCCTGCCAACGCCTGAAAAACATCCTTGAATTCCTGCACCACCGGTATACTGCCCAAGTCTACATCCGGTCCTCCTTCTGTGGTAGTGATCGTTGCTAGATACGCCTCACAACCCTTCTCTATCAGCCGTTCTGCTTGAATAGCTGAAACCACCAAACTTCTTGAGGTGGGTCTAACTCCCTGATAAACCAAGACCTCTCCGTCTCTCTCAAACCGCACCCTTCCACGGTGACAATCCAAGTGAGCTCTGTGCTTGCCTAACCAGTCCATTCCCAAAATGACATCGTAGGACTTAACTCTACAGATCACTAGATCCGCTGGCATATTTACTTCACCAAACATCACTGAAACTTTCTTAACCGTTCCTAATGAAAACATCACTTGGCCTCCAGCCGCCTGAACTAATCCAAAGTCCTCTCCGGGTTCCTTCCGGAACTGTCTCTTTCCGATCATGTCCGGATTAACAAAACAATGACTCACTCCCGAGTCAAACAGAACATGGGTTTCAACCTCACCTATTAGCAAGGTCCCTACACATTCATTCCCTAGAATGCTAAGACTCTATACTAACACACATCACGCAAAAGCATTTTAAAGAAAACACTATGTACCACACGTACCAGTAATCGGATGAGAAGTGCTCAGTTCCTCGGCTGCTGCTGCACTCGTCGTGTACACCCTCGGCCTGTCTCTTGGCCTGTGATGCAAGCGCCTCCCCTGTTCTCTTCCCTTGAGCCACGGCCTGCTCCACCACTCCCGCCTTAGGACACTCACGCTTGAAATGCCCTAGTTCTCCACAACCGTAGCAAACCTGAACCGCACCATCACTGCCAGACACACAGACCACTCTCTGATCCTCCTCCGGACAGTCTCGTACCCGATGCTCTAAACTCCCGCACCTGTGGCATCTACTACCACCGCGCCCACACTCGCCAACGTGAGCTTTGCCACACTTGCTGCACACGCTGCGTCCCCCAGATCCTTTGTTCGGTACTCCTTTTCCAAACTTCCGGTTCTGTCCACTAGACTGACCCGCCTTGGTCACGGCTGTACTAGCCCCAGCTGACATCAACGCAGCTTCCGCCTGTCCTGACTCCAACAATGCCGCCTTCTCCACAAGCTCAGCAACTGTCCTGAAGTCACGAACAACACATCCGTTCCTAAGCTCAACTCGCAGTCTACTCATAAACCTGAGAATCAGCTTCTCCTCCGTGTCAAACTCATGAGACACATACTTCCTCAGCTGGTTAAACTGAGTCTCATACTGCCTCACTGTAAGCGTCCCCTGACTAAGGTACAAGAACGCCTTCTCCAACTTGTTGTAAGCTTCCTGTGGGAAGTACTTACACCTGAACATCGCTGAAAATGTCTCATAAGAACAATTCGCATTCCCCAGCCTTCCAACAATTCCTTTCCACCACGTGTGTGCATCACCCTCCAAGTAGTGCACGGCAATGTCTCTCTTGTAACCCTCTGGACATCGGATAGACTCAAAATTCCGTTCTAGTCTCATCCTCCACTCATCTGCCTCAATCGGTGTAGAACCTCCAGCAAAGAACTTGGTTCCCAACCGCACCATGTGATCCAAAACCTTGAGGTAACTCGGAACCCTCTCCACTTGGTCCGCTTCCTCCCTAATCACATCCATGTGAACCCCCACCGGTGGTACTACTTGTGGTTCTGCTGCAACCGCCGGAGCAGGAGCCACCACAGGTAGCCTAGCTAGTACCTGTGCTAACATCCCAAGCACAGCCTCTAACCCCACTGGTGCTACATTCGCAGCAACCCCAGTTACACCCGCAGCATTCCTAGCCACGTTCTCAGCATCCGCAACATTCCTTGCTGCTTCCACGGCTGCCACTCTAGTCGCCTCATTTGCATCCGCAGCTGCCTGTCTCTCGGCTTCCCTTGCCCTCTCAACAACATCACCGTTGACTGAGCTCACAGACCCCGTAGCCTGGTTGTCCCCATTGTTTCTCACGGTTCTTCTGGTATCAACCATCTGCAAGTACACAATGCCAGTTAGCCGAAGCTAACTCAAAACGTATTTTACAACACCACACAACAACTTACCGCGAGACCTTGGCAGTGAAGAATGGATCGGAACCCCATAAACCCCAAACAAACAAACAACAGCAGTCACCAATTTCAGTCCTAGAAGTGTTAAAACGCTCTGATACCAACTTGTGGTAACCCAACCCGGTAAACCGTACCGCGGCTGTGTCCCACTACATCCTCTAAGTCCGTTTCTAAACTTAGCCATATTTTTAAACTTTTTCTTCATTCTTATTCTTTCTTATCAATACACAGCGGAATATAAAGCAACTCATTTCTTTCATTTAACTTGCATAAAATCACTTATCAGGATTCGGGGCTAACTTAAACAAATCACAATGGTTCGCTAATGAATACGAACGATCATCTAGCAACCTAAATAGTCAATCACCAAAGCCATAAGACAAAGCACAACGTCTTAAACATAAATAAAACCCAGTTCCGATCCATCCATATCCATCACTGCCGCCTGGTCTCGCCCCTTTACTGCTTAGTACCTACACACTCAAGATGAGAGGCATAAGTATTTCATAAATACTTAGTGAGTACGGTCATCCCGTAACACCTGGTCAGTACCAAACACGCAATCATACTTTCAGATTCAACATTCAACACTATCAATTCGCAATAGACATAACAATATCAAACGGCCATGATCATCTAGCCTAACCAACCAAGATCAATCCCTTTTTAAGACCCATGTCTACTTCAGCGAGAATCCCACATCCCCTAAGCTAGTACATGATCCGGATTACCCTGAGGTTAACTAAACATCATATATGCCACGGCAAACACCACAATATATCATAACATAGGAATTGCTTATCAGTTCTAACACATAACATGAAAATCACACAATCAACATGCAAATATTCTAGCAATCCTACGGTCCTAGACACCAACCACAGTCACGCACTCACCTTAGACAAGGCTGAAAACAGATTGGTCAGAAGAAATCCCGATGAAAACCGCACCAAAACGAAGATATCCGATCTCCCTAAGAATCTCTCGGCTGCCCGTACGATCTGATCCTTATCCCCTCGGCTATCTCTCGATCTGTTCACCTTTCTTCGAGCCAAACTCTGTTTTCCCTCAGAAACCCCACAAAAAAGGCTATTAGCTCGAGGTTATCCGATGAAAACTCAACACTTAGGGAAATATCCGATCACTTACCAATTTATCTCGGTGATGGTTGGAGCTGCTCGGCGATAACCTGATCTCTCTCGGATGTCCTCGGGATAAACTGTTTTTCTTAGGGTTTTCTCTCGACTATTCTTTTTCTTTGCTTTATTGCTCTCGAATAAACACAACTCTCCCGAGAAAAGTCTCAAAATTCCTTAAATACTCGCAAAACCCTAGATAACCCGGACTTATCCGATGTTTTCCTGGTTCCAGTAGGTTTTATCCCGATTCGATTCTCTCGGCTATTCCCTGTCTCGGCTATTCCCTGTACCGATTCGATTCTCTCGGCTATTCCCTGTACCAAACACTTGGCCCACGGCCCAAATCCCTTCCCACTCGGATAAACCGCCCTTATCCGAGGTGTTTTCCATTTTTTACCCGGATATTCCTATTTCTCTCAGACAACTTGTCCCATCTCGGCTAATCCTCTATTTCTCTCGGAGGTTTCCTTTTCTCCCTCGGAGACAGTCCACTGACACTCGGACTAACCTCCCAGACTCTCGGATAAATCCCACTGCACCGAGATAAATCCCATTTCCCACGGACTGGACCCTCTTTTCCCTCGGATATGGTCCATCCGGCTCGGCTATCCAGCCCATACCCGATTATTTCCTCGGTCATCACCCGACCATAGTCCGAACCTCCATTCCCCAGCCAATATCTGACCCTTGGCTCGATTATTCCTCGGACAACGCCCTGTCCGGTACGATCATTCCACATTTTCTCGGATACGGATGCTACAGTCCCCCTCCACTTCTGGGCTGAGCCTACATTCCGTAGCATTGGACAAGCTATTGGGACAGTGAATCAGGTGGACTTGGATGGAGGAAGAGTCCAAATAGCCATCGACGGTTCAAAGCAATTGTCTTCGAAACAGCAGTGGAATTCCATAGTGGAGAGGAGACAACGGTTATTCTTCGGTACGAGCGTCTGTATGGATATTGTCGGGAATGCCTGAGTCTCTGCCATGAGTCCAGCAGATGTCCTACATTGCTACCGAAGATGGAAAGAACAGATGAGATTCAGTATACAGAGGAGAAATCAGATGGGGGAGCAAAGAGTTACAAAGGCGCACTTTGGGGTTCGGGAGAGAGAATGAAAGACATCACAGATCAGGAAAAACCGATTGAAGAATCTTCCAAGGGGAAAGGAAAGGTATCGGAAACCCGAGAGGAGCAGAGATCCTCTCGATCAGAGGGGTTGCAACGGAGGCCAAATGGTGATGTTTTGAGGAGATTCTCTATACCATTACCACCAAGAGAAGACAGGATAGGTTCGGTGGGAATTCTAGAAGCATCCACCGAGCTACGGAGGATCGTAATCCAGGATTAAGTATTACTAAGGTTCGAATGGAGGAAGGAACAGAGAGTAAGCATGGGAAAGCAATAAAGACAGTCCTCCTCAACACTCTGCTAAGAAGGTCCGCAAGGGGTTAAACTTTGAAGATAGCACGATGAGGGTGGATTATTTGGATGCCGGATGTAACCAAGTTTTTATGGAAGACGCTGAGAAATCAGTTATCGCAGGAACATAGGCAGGGATTCAGGCCGAGGAGAGAGGAGGAGCAGAAGATGATCAGATCGTCGATTTCGAATCAGACCCGAAGGCGCTTATGGTTGATATTTCCGGCGACTTTGATATCGCTGATCTGGAGGATGTGTTAGAGGAGGACGGCGAAACTCAACCTGCAGGTATTGACAGTAATACCATTGAGACGCTCAATCTTGATCAAGGGTAACTGCCATTCGGAAATGGACGTGAAGATAATATACCCAATGAGAAGTTGAAGGTACCGGTTAGAGCAGGCACAAAGAAGAGGTTATTTAAGTCTTCATTTGCAGTGGGGGGAGGGTCGAAGAAAATGATGAATGGTACAACACCAAAGAAGAAGGGGATTTTAAAGGAGATTACACGTGGTGGAGAGAAAGGGGTGGTTCAACAGAGGAAGGGAGAGGTTCCGATGGAGGGACAGGGCGATAATTATAAAGTTTAATGCAGATTTTGAGCTGGAATTGTCAAGGTCTGGGGAATAGGTACACAATAAGCTATCTCAGGGAGGTTTGGCGAAAATTCAGACCGGATTTTCTCTTTCTTTCTGAAACAAAGCAGTGTTTTAATTTTGTTGAGCAATTTCAATTGCAATTTGGTTATGATTTGTTATTTACGGTTGATCCGTGTGGTGCCAGTGGAGGCCTAGCATTGTTTTGTAAAAAAACCTTTGATGTTAAAGTTTTATTTTCTAATAAAAAGATTATTGATATAGAGACTTTGTTTGAAGGAAATTTAATCTATATATCCTTTATATATGGTGACCCGGTTAAACAACAAAGAGATCAGATTTGAGAACGGATAACAAGAAGGGGTTTAACAAGAAATGGGCCATGGTTTTTAATTAGCGATTTTAATGAAATCATGGGAAATCATGAAAAGCAGGGAGAAATAATTAGACAAGCGTCGTCCTTTATTGGGTTTAATACAATCATTAGTAATTGTGGTTTAATTGATATTCCAAATCGAGGCAACACATTGTATTGGAAGGGTAGACTTGATGGACAAAATGTCCGCTGTAGACTAGACAGAGCACTTGCAACGGAGGAGTGACATGACCTATATCCATATTCATATGTGGAATATTTAAGAATGATTGGCTCAGATCACCGGCCTATTGTAGCAACAACTGAATCGAGAAATATTAAACGGAGGAAACAATTTAGGTTTGATAAGAGATAGATTGGTCAGGAGGGACTAATGGACGCAATAACACGAGGCTGGCAGGACCATGTTGCTCATCCAAACCTGTCTCTAGTGGACAGGGTAGTTACTTGTCGACATGAAATCTTCAAATGGAGCCAAAATTGTAAACTTTTTGGCAGAGATAAGATTGAAGAACTACAACAGCAATTGGAAGAAATACAGACAGATGATACGTATACCCAAACAGAGCTTAATGAGATTACTCAAAAGCTTAGGGAAGCATATCGGGAAGATGAGGAATATTGGCATCAGAAAAGTAAGAATCTTTGGAACAGATGTGGGGATCTCAACACAAAATATTATCATGCTATTACAGAGCAACAGAGGACAGTCAATAGACTAGTCAAGCTATATGATAGTCATAACACCTGAGTAACTGGGGAAAACAGGTAGAAAAAGTAGCAGTAGAATATTTCTCAGAACTATTTCAGTCCACCTTACCAACGGAGTTTGAGAATGTGTTGGGAGAGATAGATTCAGAAATAACGGAACAGGAAAATGAGGAACTTACAAAACCGGCAACTGAGAGAGAAGTAAAGCAGGTGTTATTTATGATGCATTCCACAAAAGCCTCGGGCCCATATGGTATGACGGCATTATTTTTTTAGAAATCTTGGGATATCATTAAAAGTGATGTCGTACATCAAGTGAATCGGTTTTTTGAGTCAGGGACCTTTGATAAGAGACTTAATTTGACAAATATATGTCTGATCCCAAAGACAGACAGACCAACCAGGATGACAGAATTACGGCCCATAAGTCTTTGTAATATAAGATATAAGATAATCTCCAAAGTATTATGTCAACGATTACGGAAATTATTACCACGGTTAGTATCGAAAACACAATCGGCTTTCGTATCTGGAAGGCTCATTTCAGGTAATATTCTAATAGCATAGGAACTGTTCCATGGGTTGAGAATAAATAATTCTTGCATAAAACAATTCATGGCAGTTAAAACGGATATGAGCAAGGCTTACGATTGTGTGGAATGGTCCTTCATTAGAAACCTTCTCATGAAATTCGGTTTCGCAGAGAAATGGATCATTTGGATTATGTGTTGTATTGAATCAGTCCAGTATAAGATATTAATTAATGGAAGGGCAAGAGGTAATGTGCAACCAAAGAGGGAACTTAGACAAGGGGGTCCTTTATCACCTTATCTTTTTTATCCTGTGTACTAGGTGTTAATTGCTAATGTGAAGAAAGCAGAACAGGATAGGTTACTTACGGGTATAAATGTTGCTCGGGCGAGTCCGTCGGTTTCCCAATTGTTCTTTGCGGATGACAGTGTATTTTTCTGCAAAGCAACGCTATCTAAGGCGATGGTACTGTTACATATTTTACAACAATATGAGTCAGCATCTGATTAACAAATAAATTTTATGAAATCATCAGTACAATTTGGATACAAGGTCCCACCGGCGAGACAGGAACTTTTAAACAATACCCTAGGTATTGCCAATACAGGGGGAATGAGCTCATATTTGGGGATTCCGGAAAGTCTGGGAGGCGCTAAAAAAAAAGTCTTTAATTTTATTTTGGAAAAACAACAAAAACGGACAAATGGCTGGACAGCAAAAATGTTATCTAGAGGAGAGAAAGAAGTGCTGATGAAATCAGTACTCACAGCAGTCCCGACATACACTATGTCATGTTTCAGATTACCAAAGACTATTACTTCAAAATTAACAAGCTCTGTAGCAAAATTTTGGTGGAGTTAAAACGGACAAACACACGGAATGCATTGGATGGCATGACAAAAACTCTGTAAATCGAAAGCCGAAGGTGGCCTATGATTTCAGGTGATTGAGGATTTCAATACGGCTCTTCTGGCCAAACAATTATGGCGACTCATCGAATGAATACCCAGATTCGCTATTTGCAAGGGTATTCAAAGGGAGATACTTTAATGATGGGACACCTTTGGATCCTATAAGGTCGTATTCTCCGTCTTATGGATGGAAAAGTATAATAACTGCTAGATCTCTGGTATAAAAAGGGCTTATCAAAAGAGTTGGGTCAGGACACTCAATCTTAGTCTGGAATGATCCATGGATCCCATCTCACGCTCGAGATCAGCTACATGCAAGGGGTTTAATTATTATCATGAGCTAACAGTCAATCAACTAATTGACCCTCAAACTGCAACGTGGAATATACCACTACTGGAACAAATGATAATTTCAGATGACATCCCTTTGATTACGGGATTGGCAACAACACGAGAATATCGTCTAGATCGTTGGGGTTGGAATTTTACTAAGACGGGGAGGTACACTGTCAGATCGGGATATCTCACAGAGCAAAATACCCAAATAAGGCATCTTCCAGGATTATAAGGCCCGATGTGAGCCACTTACAGGCAACAATATGGAATATTAAATATCCACCTAAGCTTAACCATTTTATGTGGCAAGTGCTTTCTGGATGTTTAGCGGTAACATCACACTTGCAAGCCCGGGGAATCAATTGTGATCCTCAATGCAGCATATGTATTGCTGACAAGGAAACCATAAATCATACCTTATTTGAATACCCTCCGACAATCCAGGTGTGGGCCCTTTCGCCAATCCCTTGCCAATAGAAACTTTCCCTACAAAAGAACTTTACACTAATATGGCATACTTAGTCTGGAATCTTCCAAAGCATGAGGATATGAAGGCATACCCTTGGATAATGTGGTACATCTGGAAAATGCGCAATGAAAAGATATTTAAAAACAGCGACATGGACCCTCGAGATATAATCAAGACCGCAATGACAGAGGCTTATGCCTGGGATAGCGCACAGACGGAGGATATAAGGACAATCACTCCACCAGGCTCAGAAAATGGAACTCAGATAAGGGATGGGATTATTTGCTATACAGATGGATCATGGAAGGCGGATACTTCGAATACAGGATTAGGCTGGTATTGTGAAGAGATAGGAACCACGAGTATATTAATGGGTGCCCGGAAGTTAGGAAGGACTCTCACACCTTTACATACAGAATTATAGGCGCTAATATGGGCAATGCATTGTATGCTTGACAATGGGAAAACAACTGTAAAGTTTTTAACGGCTGGCTCAGAATTGTTGAAGATGGTGTCTGACCCAAAATGATGGCCAACATTCTTCCTACATTTAGAGGAATTAAAGGAGACTAGGAAGGAGTTTGAATTCTTCTCAATCATAAAAATTCCTCGTGCGCAAAACACAAAGGTGGACAAGCTAGCACAGAGTGCTCATGATCACTTTTATCATCTCTACTAGTGTTTTGCCCACGCTACGCATGGGTTGTATAGTTATATTGTAGTTTTATAAAAGATTGTCAATTAATTTTGTGTTTAATATTGTGGTAAATTATAGAGTAGTATATTTGCATGTGATTCTTAGATATAATCGAACGAAGTAAGTATCATAAGGATGTATATATATATATGTGAAAAGATGATCAAAATTTTTGTATAATAATTTGAAAGTAGATTAATATACCTTTTGGCTTAGTTAAACTTTTTTTAAGAGTTAATGCATGTTTTTGCAAATATAAAGGGTAAAGTTTGATATTTCTGTATAATAATTTGATTTGTAATTTGGTTATATTTTTTGTTTATGTAAATAGTATCCACATGAACTATATATTATATTAGAAATATATTGCCTAAATTTGGACATCTTATGTTATAATGCTATTTCATTAGTGAACACCATGAGTATTTTTTTATACTTTCAAAAATATTTTGCATAAGCTTCCCTTTCGCTTGATGCTTTTAAAAAGAAAAACTTAATCCTTTCTCCATTTTTGTTTCATATTGTGTATTAGAATTTTGTTTTTAATTTTCATATAGTATGCATTTCTCTACTTATCAATTTTTTAAGATTCACTATGTACATAGATGTTTTATAATTAGTTCATATGTTCAACAAAGAAAACAAATGGCAATTAATAATAAACTTTTATTATTATATGAGCTTTTTATTGATTGATATAATACTTGT